TCAGTTTTAGGTATACCTGGTGCTGCTCCTAACATACGTTCCTGGACTCTCTACTGGTTCAGGATTGATCCCCTGGCTTGATGATAACGGCCGAGTGTGGGATATGTTGGGCCGTGAGGTTGCAGATTATATCGCAATAAAATTCTGCTAGCGTTGATGGCTCTCTGTGCCTCATAGGTACCCTGTGTTGAGGATGTTAGATCTGTTTGAAATCTATCTATTTAGCACAGTAATAATGCCACACAACACGATGCAGGGTGCTCATAAGGTGAAGCTCGGACTTCGTCTCCACAAGGACTGTGCAGTGATCACTCTTACCAACACCATCATGGACAGAAGCATCTGCAGCAGGTTGACTGATGAGGATGAGGTCAAGTATGTCTTTCCCTCTTGCTGATTCCCTCACTACCTGCTGCAGACCCAGTCTAACAGTTATGTCCTTTAGAACCCGATCAACTCAATCATCAGTAGTGCCGTTGCCGAACTACTGTTGGTAGTGGACATTGAAATCCCCTACCCTGAGTACAAGTTACCTCCTAGCCACCCTCAATGGTTCCTCCAAGTGTTGTTCAACACGGAGGAGTACTGATTTATCAGTCAAAGGACGTAATCAGCGGGAGATTTCCATGCCCTTGTTTAACCTGATGCCATGAGACTTCATGGGGCCCAGAACTCCCAGGGCTGTATACCACTGTGCTGCCACCTCTACTGGGTCTGTCCTGCCTATGGGACAACATACCCAGGGATGATGATGGTGGAGTCTGGAACATTGGAAGGTATGATTCCATGAAGATAATTATGACAGGCTTTTGCTTGACTAGTCTGTGAGATAGCGCTCACAATTTTGGCACAAGCCCCCAGATAGATTAGGTTTAGGACTTTACAAGGACGGCAAGGCTGATTTTGCTGTTATTGTTTCCAGTGTCTGGGTCAATGCCAGATGGTCTGCCTGGTTTCATTTCTTTGTTGAGATTTCATAGTGATTGACACAACCGCATGGCTTGCTAGGTCATTTCAGATGGCAGATTTCCTTCCCTGAAGGACATTAGTGAACCAGATGTGTTCAATGGAATTTAAATCAGGTTTACGCTACCTGTCTTCATAATTTACATGTTTTGATCCAGCCTTGCAGCCAATATTTCTTTGTAGAGTGTGTTTCCCCCCTCAACCCACACAATTTTATAATTAGCACCTGTGATAGCGTTGTGCTTCATCTTTCCTACAACCATTTCTACTTCCTTTGCATTTTGTTCTATGATATCTTTGATCTCTAATTTTTCTAAATCTTTGCTGACCTACCCTTCTGTTCCACTTTCCCCTGTTTCCTTTTCAATGGCATAAAACATGTCTTCACAAACATTCAGTTCCACGATCAGTGGACTCGTAATGTTAACTCTATTTCTCTCTTCAGAGATGCTGCCTAACCAGTTGAGTTTCTTCATTTCATCGAGTTTCTTTGTATATCTTATTATCTTTGTTGAGGTTTGGAACACAAACTGAATGCAGCGTACAATACTAGATGGGGCCTGATAAAATTTGAACAACCGTAGAATTACTTCCACACTTTTGAAATTTAAATCCCTTGGAGATAAAACCAGCATCCCATTTTATACCTGTGTGCTAGGTTTTTTTGTGATGTTTTTACAAGGATATGCAAGGAACCCTCAGTTTCATAGCTTTAGTCTCTATTCATTAAGACAATATTCTGATTTGTCTTTCTCAGATCCAAAGTAGTAAACCTCACATTTCCTCATATTAAATTCTATTTCTGTATTTTTTTTTACTCTTAGCTCCTTTCTAACTTGCTCTACCATCCATATATCCTTTCATGTTAGAAAGGAGGAAATTACGGCTCCTGAGCGTTATCTAGCAAACTGAGACCATAGCTGGAAGCAAAGCAATTTTTCATGAAAAGCATTTTTTATTCAAAATGATGCATATTCCATATAGTACTGAAGCTAGGCTATAGGGATATAATAGTGTGTAATGTCCTACGTAAGACCGGAATGCAGAGAGATGTACCAAGGACCAGTGCGTGCAGCAGAGGTAGTTCAATCTGAATTAAAGATTAAAGGCTAAAAAGAGACTAATAAAACATTTATACATACGCTCTCTCTAAAGCTTAAGTGGGCAAGGAGTAGGCAATACAGACATCAGTTTGAAGAATAAATAAACCCTACAATTCAATTGGCAATCAACTCAGACTGCCCATAATTAGGAGCAAGTCACCAGGGACCCAAACTGCCAGTACAGATAAACAATAGGGGGTTAAAGTTTAAACAATGATTGGTAAATATATGGGGCATACACCATAAAGCAGATGTGCATGTGTACTATCAATGGATCTCTTTTAGAATTGCCTAAGCAACAGCTATACAACAAACAGAACACTGTTTTATTGGACTACTGAGCTCTGTCTCAGAAGCTGCATATACCAGGCAGGTTCACAACTAGCAATGTTATTAAATAACCCTTGGAGGCATTTCCCTAAGTGATTGTTCCTAGAAAACAATAAGAGAATGTGTAATCTAGAGTCTTGTATTAACCAGAATTTGTGGAAGTTGAAGAAGATGTAGATGAGGAGGGCATTTGATACATTAGCTCTAGGGGTGGTCCTGGCATAGATCAGAGTTTCTGCAATGGAGAGAGAGATCAATGGTTTCATTTAGCTGTTGAAAATTTAGTTGTTCTGCACCGTATCTGCTGTTGCATATATGAAAAATAGTTATGAATATGTTCTGTCAATTAAGCATTAAGAAAGCCAGAAACACAGAATGCTTTCTTTAAGAATTATATTTTTTATTGAAGGTCCTAAAACATGGAGGTTCAAAAAGCCAAATGATCTATTTTCACTTGCAGTTGTCAATTCTCTCTAGACAGTCTTGAAAACTGACAGCTCTGCATTGGCAGAAATCAAAGACTTCTCATGAGCTCTCCAGGTAGAACAGATGCAATCCTCCCTCCCAGAGCCCCAATATATTGCCAGAAACCAGACGTGTGATATGGCTAATTAATAAAATAATTAATAGGAAATAAATAAAATGCACATTATTGTTGGTGATTCTCACAGCATACAGGACCTGCTTACCCAGGCCACAATGCCAAGATACAAAGACTCAGAAATGCCTAAAAACCCTATTTTTGTACACTTTGCTTACACAGTGTTAATAGCCTGTATGCAAATGGAAAGCTCTGAGGCACGCTGGAATGGATCTCAATTTAGAAAGTGCTGAAACAGGAGCCCACAAAAGTTAATGGTCCAATTTAAACGTGCACGATTGGGTTGGATTGTGGGCGTATGAAAGAGAAATGGATCAGTCTCAGACTCTATAGTCAAGGCTAACCACCATTATTAGAAAAACTGAAGATTGCAGGACTACTGTCAGTGCTGAAGGTAACAATGTTGTTAACAATGCATTGACCTTATATCCATCACTTAATTTGAGAATCACTATTCACAGATTGCCTGTGGTATTAGGCTCCTTAATTACTTATGCAAATAAACTAAAGCCTGCTGAAGTCGAGTAGTATAAATCTAGTGGGCCTTCTTATGGCACAGTGGTGGTGTCCCTACTGCTGGACTGGGAGACCCATGTTCAAGTCCTGCCTGCTGTAGAGATGTGTTTAAAAAAAAACCAGATGGGATGAATATGCCCTGATCCACAAGGTGAGTAAGGTTAAAATTTGGGATTTATATGTGCGATATATAAAAATATGAATATGAAATTTAGCTAGTGATTAAGATGACAGGTTCTGTTTTAACTCCCAAAATGTTCCACTAGCCCTGATGTCTTAAATCCAGCAAGCCATTATCTTCCCTCTGTAATAATTTAAAGAAATTTTAATTATCAAATAATTGAACACTTATGATAACAGGATATTGTTAACCAAGTTTCAGAGTGTTTCACTGCTCCAGAAATGTATTAACTCTAGAATTATGATAGAAAACAAATGGTAACAGAACTGAATAAAAACCAAAAGAACTGCGGATGGTGTGAATCAGGAACAAAAATGAAATTGCTGGAAAAGCTCAGCAGGTCTGGCAGCATCTGTGAAAGAAAAAAAAGATTTAACGTTTTGGGTCTGGTGACCCTTCCTCACCCGAAACGTTAACTCTGTTTTTTCCTTCACAGATGCTGCCAGACCTGCTGAGCTTTTCCAGCAACTTTGTTTTTGTTCTTGATATCAGAACTGAAAGGATATATCCATCGGGAAAAAACTGAACAGCTGGGACTCTCCTCTAAATAAGGGAAAGCTGCATGGTGACTGTTAGAAGTTTTTAAGATTATGAAAAGATTTAATAGGTCTCTATTTGGAGTAAGGTGCTTCCAAGCTTAGTTAAAACCAAACTGAGGGGCCACTTAGTATAAGATAATCTTTAATAAATCCAGTAGGGAATTCAGGAAAAACTTCATTACTCAGAAAAATTGCTGAGGATGTGGACCTATCTACCACAAGGACTGGTTGAGGTAACTGGCAAAGATGCATTTAAGTGATAGAACAATAAATACATAACAGAAAAGAGAAGGATTTAGTGATAGGGCTAGAACAAGGGTGGCAGAATGTTCACAAACACGTTGGCCATAATGGACTGTTTCTGTGTTGTAAAAATGTAGTATTATACAAATGAAAAACTGAATGATAATCAAGTGTCTTTATCTAGGTTTGGCCCTCTTTCTATTCTCACCTAGAGTGTTTAAAATTAGTATATGCTAAAACCTGTGTTGCTTTAAATTCATCGGTATTGCAAAGTTGGAGCTTAACATAAGTTTCAGCTGTTAGAATAGTGGAAAGTTATTGAAAAAAATCTTTTGAGTAAGCTACAATAATTTAGTTGGTCAATTTAACAAAAAAAATGAGCTGCATTTGTGTACAAGTCATCTCCTTGTATCAGAAAAGTAAGAAAAAAAACTAAAGTGCAATTTGCACACCAAAATACACTAGACTACCACAAATTTTACAGAAAAGGTAGTAGGTACAGAGATATCATGCAAACCAACCTGAATAAGAAAATTAATCCATAATCATTTGGCTTGGCCAACATGTCAGTTCCAATTACCAGGACATTTGAGGCATCTGGGGAAAAACATTGAGGAAGGAATAAAATAATTTAATACTATAGTAATGGTAAACAGAAAAATGCAAAAAGATTTTTTTTGTACAATCAGACGATACAGTTCAATTTGTAGCGTTCTTTATGCTAAGTAAAATGTCAGCAAATTAAGCTAAGTATTCAGTCACTAAGCATGGAAAGTGAATAGCAAATAGACTTTACAGAGGTTTTGTAATGTTTGATTTCTAGGATCAATGAACATTCAACTCACCCTCATCATATGAATGTCAATAATTTTTACTTGAATAATTTGATTAAATGGAGGAATGTGCAATCATCATTTATACAAGTAGTAAGAGCTAAAAATTGGTGTAGATATGTGCTTATGTGTATGTTATACAAGCTGTAATAGTCTAATGGTGTGTATTGTATTTTAACTGTGTTTGTCTTTATACACAGCAGAATCCCACTGCTCACTTTCTTCTTGGATGAGCAACAATGGGATTTATTATGATGCCAGTCATTTCCACCTCAATAAGTATGGCTCAATGTCAAAAGAAGATTGAATCTTGTATCTATCACTCAACCTGAGCTCAGAAAGTGAAGACCAAGGTAGGTTAAACAGGAATAAATTTTTTGAAGGTAGGCAACATTAAATTATACATTGGTGACATTCAGAAGGTTTGCTTTTGGAGCCTTAACTCTTCTAAATAAAATGTAAAATTAGCTTTGAGACTGCCATCAATTTTCAAACCTACATTATGTAATGTTTTTACAACATTCTCTGGTCCATCAATGCTCAACAAGACACCTTCCAGATTTTCATTATTACCAACAGACCAGCCAGTTTGCAATGCTTAGTTATAAAGACTGTGTTGCCATAACGTTAAAGAAATATTACTGCAAGGCAAAATCCATTTGTGAAACTATCAAAGGTATATGTGTTGAACCCAAAATCTACTCTCAATTCTGTAGGAAGGAGAGAAATGCATTTTTCAAAAACCTCTTCAAAATATGTATTCTTTATTTTCTCTTTGACAAACAGTAAAATACTGGTGATTTAAAGGACATGCTGCTTGTACTGCTTTAAAAAAAATTAATCCATTTTTGGAAGGAGGTGATACACCATGGGTTGCCTCTTCCCAACTGCTGCATGTTTCATGCCATTCCTCAATTAGTTCATGAGAAATGGAGTCTGCTGTCAACATTTCCATTGTATCAAGAAGTTGTCATACTTGCACAATATTAATCTGAAGGTGGCTTCTGTGCTTTGGGTGGGGAATGGAATTGCACAGTGGAAACCCAGAATTGAAAATAATCAGGTCATGAACAGCAATATCAACTCAACTATATAATTTAATTTTGGATCTCAAATTTCACATTCTGAAGCTGTGGAGTGGCTTTATATGCACCTGCATTACTCAATCAGGCTGTATTAAAAAGGACAGTGCACAAATGGATGTTCCAAATATTCAGAAAGGACAGTAGATCTGGAGTGAGGGCAGCACCCAGAATTACTGGGTGGGTGCAATAAGGAGCAGAAACATGCTCTTTCCCAGCAGTAGGAGAAACTTGCAGTTCTCACTATTTGATTGGAGGCAGATGAGGAAGTGAGCAGGAATATTAACTCGTGCAAAACCAAGCACATCACCATCTGTCATGACACTCCTGTTGCTAAGTGCTGAAGGGGGTTTTCAGACCCAAGTAAATATCCGGAGTGGATCTTCAGCTTTCCAAAGGTTTGCTTGATGAAAAAGCTCAATGTTGCCTGTAACTTATTAGTGGGGTCCTCCACAGATATCATGAAATGAGTTTGAAAGTCACATTTCTCATTTCCTACAAGCCAGCCTTTACGTATGCTTCTTGGTTTGGAAAGGCCTGGAATGCCGACGAGTGCATTAAAGATGCAACATGATAGCTCAAATATCCAGGATATTGAACTGATAGTATACTGGAAGGATTCAGATGTGAAATACCAAGTAGTGATCATTTCTTTGCCTCTGCTGAGGTGTGGCACTAGGTCCAACAGGGAAAAGGTCAACCTGGTGCTTGTCACTATCTGATGCAACAATCTGTCCTACCCTGGTATTCTAGAAGTGGAGGTAGTGAGCTGCCTCTTGAACTGTGCAGACCTCTGGTTGTAATGACAAATACAATGCTGTTAGGAAGAGTGTTCCAGGATTTTGACTCAATGACAATAAAGGAATAGTAATATAGTTCCAAGTCAGCATGGTGTGTAACTTGGAGAGGAACCTGCAGGTGGCGGTCTCCGTGAGTATCTACTGTCCTTGTCCTTCTAGGTGGTAGATGTCGTGATTTTGGAAGGGGCCATCGACTAAGCACTGATGTGTTGCTGCAGTGCATCTTATAGATGGTGACCTCTGCTACTGTGTTTCGGTTGTGAAGGGAGTGAATGCTGGAAGTGATGGATGGTATGTCAATCAAGCAGGCTGCCTTTTGTCCTAGGTGGTGTCAAGTTATGATTATAGCACTGTTAAAAATTTCATTTATGTACAGTGTGAATGACTACTCTTACCTCTGGGCAGGTCTGTTATCTCATGATAACCACTTGACATCAAATCATGGCAAAGGTTTTCTAGGTGATACTCATCTGCTGTTGCAAAGGCTGTACATTTCATTAGATCCTATCCAAACATATACAGGAACAGAGTCAAAACGGTTTGATTAGATGCACAGTCCAATAAAGTACAGATGACAATAACATTTTCCCTGCTGCAATGAAGACTAATGCAGTTCTACTTAAACAAACATACATGAAAAGTTGCATTTGTTTCAATAGCTTGTCGTTTCCCACCACCCGCACCCACACGCCCCGCGAACGAAACACTCTCGGAAGAAAATTAAGGCCTGGTCTTGTATATGTTGGTAAACATGGGAGCTGATTTGGGTGAACTTTTGCTGCAAACATCCTTCATGTTAATTTGCTACCTGATGCCAATCAAGCATGTGTTCCTGACTTCCCTCGATGTGCAACTTCATTCTCTCTTTAAAGAATCAACTATGCTGAGAAGAGGTTTGTCAGAAACTGTTGCTTGGGAACCATTGTAAGGAACACAAACAGTCTATTTCAGGCCTCAAGCTTATACCACCATTTAATTAGATCATTTCTGATCTTTACCTTAACGCCATTGACCTGTCTTGGCTCCATACGTCTTAATACTCTTTTATAACAAATATCTTAATTTTGACTTTAAATCAACCTAGCCTCAATAGCTTTTTTTGCTAACCTTTTTCTAAGTGCTCCCTAAATTCATTTCTGAATGGCTCAGCTCTAACTTCAGGTTATTCAACACAGCAGTGATGTTTTACTTTCCTTCTACATAAACTCCCCAATGTGTGCAAGGCTGCATCTTATGACAGCAATTCAGAAATCAATTACTGCTAACATGACAATCACAACCAAGAATGTACATTCTATCTGCCAAACCTGTCAAGTTGATGTTATTTTTACACAAAATAATATCAAACAAGTAATTAGGGCTTGCCATTTTCAATATCTTTCTGGTCTTGCTAAATCAATTGAGCCTGGAAGACAGTGTAGAGTAGGCTGATCTGTTAGGCTGAAAATTTCCCAAGTCAATATTTTCTCCTCTGAACTGTGAAATAGATTGCCTCTTCATTTTCAACAGCCTAATTTTGAGAATTCCTCAGAGTTCTCACAATCCCTTTAGACAAGATGTGGGCTATGAAGGAACTAGCATCTTAAATCATGCTTTAATTTTTTTTAATCAATATATTTTTAAAATTTTATACTGAATACCATTAAATAAAAGTTTTGATTCCACCCCACGTTGGGATTTTTTTGCATCATAGAGGCAAACTAATGTCATCACTCTTCTGAAGAGAACCATCAGCACTCTGATGCAGGCCTCAGACATTGCAGATAGAAATAACAAAGCCCTGAACACTTGTTCCATTGGAGGCAAAAAACACCCTGGGGCAAGTGACAGTCGCAGCATGAAATGCAACTACATTGAACGAACTAAGGGAAAGAAAAACGTTTAAGGTGACTAAAGGAAAAAAAGGAAGAAGAGTTTATGTATCTTAACCAAATCCACACTGAAAACAGAGCAAAACAATAAATGTTATAGATTATTAATGAAACAAAGTTACATTTGCAGAATCAAAGTACAAATTAGAAGCCGGACTACAAGTAGGCTATTCCACCCCTCAAGCCTGCTCTAATATTTGATTAAAACCACGTCAGATCTGATTGCAGCCTTTAGATTCTCTACAAATTACAAATCCTGATCCAAATCTTCCAAGGAAAGGCAATACCCTAACAGTGCCACTTCATTCCTACATTTTTCCCCTAAAAGTGAGTTCCGCATTTTTGGCATAAACTTCCATTACCAGCTTCTTCAGAAACATGGAGCATAACTGAAATTTAACTGTTGCGTTGTAGTGCTGGATAATCAGGAGAAATGAACCCATACCCCTCTTTACATCACTAGCTGCTATATTCTGACAAGTGTTTAAATGTCCCAAAGCTTTTGTGAACTATGCTATTTTCAGCTCTACTTCACAGTAGAAAATGCTTTCAAGAACAGTATTGAGAATTATTAATTATGCCATGGCCAATATTTCTGTTTAGGGTGCTAGGGCACAGATGGTCACTAGTGTGGAGCTGAGCACTGTCTGTGCTGTTGGGTACGGTGATCGTTACCTGCAAGAGGGTTAAACATTGCTGTAGGTGTAGTAACTGCATCCAGCAGATTATACTCTTGAGCAGGTTTTAGACGTATGGAAAAAAACCTAAGTACATGCATGAAAAAGAGATAACAAGGTGTAGAGCTGGATGAACACAGCAGGCCAAGCAGCATCAGAGGAGCCGGAAGGCTGACGTTTCGGGCCTAGACCCTTCTTCAGAAATGGGGGAGGGGAAGGGGGTTCTGAAATAAATAGGGAGAGAGGGGGAGGCAGATAGAAGATGGATAGAGGAGAAGATAGGTGGTGAGGAGAAAGACAGGTCAAAGAGGCGGGGATGGAGCCAGTAAAGGGGAGTGTAGGTGGGGAGTTAGGGAGGGGATAGGTCAGTCCAGGGAGGACGGACAGGTCAAGGGGGCAGGATGAGGTTGGTAGGTAGGAGATGGGGGTGGGGCTTGAGGTGGGAGGAGGGACAAGTTAGGGAGGCGGGGACGAGCTGGGCTGGTTTTGGGATGCGGTAGGGGGAGGGGAGATTTTGAAGCTTGTGAAGTCCACATTGATACCATTGGGCTGCAGGGTTCCCAAGCGGAATATGAGTTGCTGTTCCTGCAACCTTC